GAGCATGTCTAAAGGGATCTTAGCTACTAGAGCCTGGATTGAGACATTTTTTGTCCTTCCCCTGGGCTATCCGTTTGGCTTCAATGTAAGCACTGGAGTCTGAAGAAGCAGGACAGAAAGAATACTGACACTTTTGAACTTTGGTGCTGGAGAAGACTCCCGACGATACCTTGGCCAGCCAAGAAAAGAAATAAAAGAAACAAACAATTCAATTCAGAGTTCTCACTAGAGGCACAAATAACTCAAATTTTCATATCTCAGACACATTATGCAAAGACCTTCTTTTTCTGGAGAAGGTTCTAATTCTAGATTCCATTTCTCTTCAGGAAGTCATGGCATTTGTGCATAAGGCTAGGGCGTTGCTCTTTACTTATAATTCTATAAAATTATTGCGCCATTTTCAAAAATTTACTACTTGAATTCCTTTGCTATTTGCAATCCCATCCTTTTTTCCCCCTTTTAGATCAGTTGGATTATAAATCTATGGGCAGGGTTTATTTTGTTTTTAATTATCTGTAGCATATCACAAGTGTTAGGTGTTTTGTAGGTTGCTAATGATCATTCATAAATCAAACAATAGTTTAGTGGCTTTGCAAATTTCTAACTCTCATGAGAAAGCTATTTTTTTAAAGGAACAGAAGAAAATTTTACTTAATCAAGGGTAATTTTTGCTCTACCTTTTTGGTTTTGCAAAAAGATTTTTTTTGCAAAATTCTTAGATAATGTATTGTTTCATTATAAGAAATATATCTTTCCTACCACTAGGAAACACAAATAGCAGCCAAAATTAAATTTTTTGGCTCTTAGTAAATCTTAAGTAAATCAAAAACTATATTTTCTTTAGATTTCCTCAATTAAAAATTAATATCTTGTGTAAGTCATAAAAATGGCACTGATGAGCTAACAATAGCTGGTGAGCTGCTTCTTTCATTTGATTCTTTTTATTCATGATTTATTTTAATTTAATTTGATTTGATTAGCTGACTTTATTTATTTTTGTTGCTCCCTGAAAATAACTAAGTAGTCAAAAGCTCTTGAGGACAGACAGTTTGGTGCAGTGGTTAAAATACCAGACTGGAAACCAGCAGACCATGAGTTCTAGTTCCATCTTTGACACAGAACCAGTTGGGTGAACTTGGGCAGGTCATTTTTTCTCATCTGTAGGAAAGAGGCAATGGCAAATCACTTCCGAAAATCTTGCCAAGACAACTGCAGGGACTTAGTCCAAGTAGTTGCCAGGAACAATGACTTAAAGGCACGCACACAAAACAAAAACAAAAATACATCCTGAGTGTCTTAGAATTTAATCCAAACCCTTCAAGAAAGGAAAATGGAACAGAGATAATAAAAAATGGTAACAGAATGAGTCCAAGGTCTCAGAATCTATCTAAATCTTCTTCTCAGCACAACTTCATATGCTTTTAATTAACAGCTGCCTTTATTTCATACGACATCCTGCTTCCTAACCACAAAACCCTAATTCTCTGTTTGGTTTACTCTCTGCAATTTTGTTTTGTTTGGGATGCTGAACATAAAAAGTTTTTGAGAATTAAGTCCCCAAATACCTTTCACTTAGACAAGTGAACTATACTCACTAGAACCAAAGGGCAGCAAATGACAATATATTGGTTTTTAAGACTCTGGGATGAGTCTTAAACAGACTTCTGCTGGAAGTTTTTCTTGATGAGCCCCAATAGATTTTCAAGAATCAATGAGATACTGTTTGATGTCAATAGCATCTATACTATTTACCACTATGTCTAAAAGTCACAGGTCCTCCCCATCCCTTGCTCTAGAAGTACAGGGTTTACAAAAATTAAACTTTTGAAACAATTAAGCAGGACTGGGGATTACTATGGTATCCCCATGGCTATGCTCATTTAATTTAAGATGTAGAGTGATCTGGACTCTGAGTTTTGCTTTAAGTATAAAAGCAGAAAATGCACCAGACTGCCAGTCAAACATCCAAGTAAATTAGCACTGAAGTTAAGTGCTAGTTTTTATAATTGTTTTTTTTATATTTATTGTGTTTTGTACATATGAAATTAAAATACAAATATGAAATAGATCTCCTTAAAGCTAGTTTCTGTAACAAATAGAAAACCTGCAATATAGGTAGTCCTCGACTTACGACCATAATGGAGCCCAAAATTTCTGTTGCTAAGTGAGACATTTGTTAAGTGAGTTTTGCCCCATTTTACAATCCTTTTTGCCACAGTTAAGTGAATTAGTGCAGTTGATAATTTAGTAACCCGGTTGAATCTGGCTTCCCCATTGACTTTGCTTTGCTTTGTCAGAAGGTTGCAAAAGGGGATCACATGATCCTGGGACGCCGCAAAGGTCAGAAATATGAGCCAGTTACCAAGCATCTGAATTATGATCACATGATCATGGGAAAGCTGCACGATCATAGCTGTGAAAAACAGTCATAAGTCACTTTTTTCAGTGCCACTGTAACTTTGAATGGTCACTAAATGAACTGTTGTAAATCAAGGACTATCTATAGGACAATATTCATTGGATTGCTCATCAATACCTATCCTATACTGAGGGGAAAAAAATCACAAGACAAAATGCTTCATTTTTAAAAGAAAATACTTATTGCTGTTTTTAGTAGCAAATACTTTTTTTCTGATGATACTTTCAGACACTCAGATGTGACACTAATCAAAGTTTCCATTTGGATCTAAATTGGAAAGTGAAATTGTGAGGCAAAAAGGAATTAGCGAGTGGCTTATATAAGCCATTCCATGACTTCTCTCATGGCTTTATGATATGACCAAACTTAGAGGGTTTATTGTGAAATAGTACTTATTATATTAAAAACACAAACCAGGCAAGCTTTGTAATGGCCAGAATTAAAAACAATATCCTGATGTAACAGTAAGAAATTATGGATAATGTAACAGACTTCAACTCACAGAATGCTATACAGAACAGACTATAATTATTTTAAAAGATTGCATTAATAAAGTTGCATATTTAAGCCCTGAGGAAACTTAGAGCATTGTTTTATTTCCCCTTCTGTATAATGTCTTTAACTGAGTTAAACTTATGATGCTTCAGAAGAACTAATTACTTAAACCACTTTGTTACACACACACAATGGGGCAAACTGATGATCAGTACAATCCACTTTCAGGATTATGTTAATATATTAAAGCTGTTCCTAAAGTGTTAAAGTAACTTTCTAATGCAGAGATGGGAGGTTTTTTTGCAGCTACATTTTGCAACTGGTTTTTTTAACAACAGTAAACTGACTTCTGTTTTCTGCACTGGTGATGGTTTTCAGTCCAGTTTTTCTCCAGTATTGAATTTATCACCCAGTTTTGGAAAGACTAAGGAATTGAATCACTCTGATTTTTAGTCTTTTCTTAAAGAAACAAAATGGAGGTTGTTACATAATTGAGAGAAGAGAGACAACAATTTAATTCCTCAACTGGCTGTAGAAAATAAAAAGCTGAAAATGTTGCCCCCAAATTAACACAATCAATCAAGTAATAACTGTTCCTTTCTTCAGCTATGAAAAATGTGTTACTTTACATTAAATGACAGGAAGTATGTTAAAATTATGTATTTCAAATTACCAGACTCTATTCTCTCATCAAGAGTAACTATGTGAAAATCCATGCAATAGATTAACAAACCCTTGTATAAAATCAGCAGCACTGCAGAGAATATATATTCCAACATAGGATTATTTATACAGAAAAAAAATTAGACAAACTTGTAGTTTTCATAGATGAGAAAATGTCTGTAATAATTAACATACTAAAACTTTAAACATGTAGTTCAAAGCTTGTCAAATGGTTTGTTGTTGTTAGTTGCGAAGTCGTGTCCGACCCATCGCGACCCCATGGACAATGTTCCTCCAGGTCTTCCTGTCCTCTACCATCTTCTGGAGTCCATTTAAATTCACACCTACTGCTTCAGTGACTCCATCCAGCCATCTCATTCTCTGTCGTCCCCTTCTTCTATTGCCCTCAATCTTTCCCAGCATTAGGCCCTTCTCCAGTGAGTCCTTCCTTCTCATTAGGTGGCCAAAGTATTTGAGTTTCAACTTCAGGATCTGGCCTTCTAAAGAGCAGTCGGGGTTGATCTCTTCTAGGACTGACCGGTTTGAACGCCTTGCAGTCCAAGGGATTCGCAGGAGTCTTCTCCAGCACCATAGTTCAAAGGCCTCAATTCTTTTGCGTTCAGCCTTTCTTATGGTCCAACTTTCACAGCCATACATTGCAACTGGGAAAACCATGGCCTGGACTATACGCACTTTTGTTGGCAGGGTGATGTCTCTGCTTTTTAGTATGCTGTCTAGATTTGCCATAGCTTTCCTCCCCAGGAGCAAGCGTCTTTTAATTTCTTGGCTGCAGTCCCCATCTGAGGTGATCTTGGAGCCCAGAAAAATAAAATCTGTCACTACCTCCATTTCTTCCCCATCTATTTGCCAGGAATTGAGAGGGCCGGATGCCATGATTTTGGTTTTCTTAATGTTGAGTTTCAAGCCAACTTTTTCACTCTCCTTCTTTACCCGCATCAAGAGGCTCTTTAGTTCCTCTTCACTTTCTGCCATTAGAGTGGTAGTCAAATGGTTCAATAGTATCAAAAAGAACTTTATTCCCAAGTGGAGAGATTAAAATAAAAAAAAATGCAATATGATCTACAGTATCATGACAACCAAAATTTTCCATTATAAATGTGAGAACGATCTTTGGGCCAATTCCAGGCCACCCAGAATAGTAAAACAACTATAGATAAGCTTTTAATTAATTTAGACGTAAGTCACAGGATATAAGAAGTTAAAATGCATGGTATGATTTCAAATTATAGGTTTCTAAATTATACAGAAAATGGACTGAATATGAGGCCTGAGAAATAAGAATTTATTTGGAAATCAAGCAATTTATGGTGAGATATAATGGCATGTAAAACCAAACCCCAAATCCATACCCAAAATATTATGTGGGGCATTCATTTTTAACCCCACCTCCCCTAAAACTTACAATTGGGAGTCGTAGTAATCCATGCACTTCTTTTTCTTATTATACGCTGCCACTCTAAAAGGTACAATTTCCAATGTTATCAAGCCTGGTGCCATAGTCAGGACTTTGGCACCATGGGTTGGATCATAGAGGTCTTTTCCAGTCTCTGGATGTGGCATTCCAGCGGGATCTCGGCCCACTATATAGAAGTTTGCTCCAGCTACCATTCTCGCCCTGCAATGCCACTGAACCTAGAATAAGATTCAAGATATTAGCAAAAATCAGAACTTGAAAAGAAGGTGCAAGAGACATAAAAATGATCTCTAATAGATAAAAGAAAAGCAGGTGTCTTCTGATCAAGGGCACATCTACTATGGTTGTCGTCAACTTATTTATTGTATGTTAGAGACATCATCAAAAATTCTAATGCACAAAACACTGCCTGGCAGTTTGTACAGCAGCTGTACAAACAAACAGAAGGATGCCACTTATCATTCCAGAGAATCACATTGAAAGAATGCCTCAAAAATTTCAGTGTGAACACATGTACCCATAAAAGGAAAAAAAGACAATCAAACTAGTAGGTAGCCATGCTCCATTGGAAGCAGAATTCCAGAGAATAGCTCTCTATGTAATAGTGTCTTGTTTTTAAACAACTAGTTAAAATGCCTTTTAAAGTTAAAAGAAGAATAAGAAAAAAATGTATTACTTTATCTAAGGTGCTTTTCTCAAAAGGCAACTAGACTATGTTTTTTTCATTGAACAAGAAATTTTATTTTTCCTTGAGGAAGAGGATGTTTCACTTCTCATCCAAGAAGTTTCATCCAGTCAAAACTGATGAAACTTCTTGGATAAGAAGCAAAACTTCTTCCTCAAGGGAGAAAAAAAACATTTCTTCCTCAAGGAAAAAAACATAGTCCAGTTGCCTTTAAAAAAAAAAAAAAGCATCTTTGAGACAATCATGACCTGGATGACTGTGAATCTCCATAGACATTTATTAATTATTTATATGTTAATCAAGAAAAAGTAGCATCTGGGAAACTATGTATTTTCTAGGCTGAGTCGTTGCATGTTTCTTTCAAACTGAGAACATATTTCACATGGATGTATTTACATGTACACTAACAAATATGTTTGTCATTTTTTTGGCAATGCAGTTTCTCTGCATAAAGAATAGCCCTACAAGAGAAACCATACATATGTTTTGTCTAAGAAAGGGAGAAATACAGAATTATTAATGAAAAAAGGTGGTAAAAGGAACAAGAGATGTACAGTAATAACAGTGGTTTAAACCTCTTGACAAGGGCTGTCATCAAATTAAACATCAGTTAAGTGATATGCATAAATTCACGTGAAAGTCAAGACAGTTCTGGATGCACATGTCGTCATACTTTTTTCCATTTTAGATTATGTGTATGTGTCAGAACACGTATCATCCTAAAAGAATGGTGTTGTTTTCCATGCGTGAAATAGAAGTGCTTTTAGTACATGCAGTACTTGTATTTTAAAAATACACATATATATTTATTAAATATTTTTTAAAGATAGGCAACACATCTTTAAGATGAATCAACATGTTGAATATTATAAATTTTGTTATGCAATTTTGTTCTCATTAATATATTGAACATTGCAAATTTACTTGTGAGATTTACAGATTCAAAATACATTCTGAAACAGTATTTTAATTATTATTTTGTTCTTCCTATCTGAGGATTTTTTACCACCTAGAAAAGAAAAAAGGAAGGAAATTGAAATCCTAAATGTTTCTAGAATACTATTCCTAAATAGTACTTATTTTATGCTAATCAAGAGATTTTAAATCCATGTGCTTTCATTATAGGAATAATTTATTAATTTTTTTAAAAAAATCTTAAAACAAGAATTCTTTATTCTGGAAGCTATGGCAATCATTTCCGATAAAAGTATGTAAAGGACATGCAAATACTATGAGGTGGAAAAGAAATACATTACCTGGTTTATTTTTTTGCTTTTTTATCTTGCAACCAACTCAGTACTATTCACAAACTACACAATATATGTTTCCAGGATTGCCATAAAAAAAATTACCCAACAGACATGGGTTGTTTTTAAATCTAAGTCTTCAATAGTGCCATTTTATATTTAGTAGACAGCATTAGATTAGCAGTACTGAAAAATTTCTTTTTCTGGAGAACGCTTGATACTGGTATATTTTTTATGCTTTCATGACAGCAAGATTCTTTTCAGTTGTCTCCGTACATCCAGATGGCTACCTTCTGCAAATAATGCTAAATAAGAAAATTGGTTTTTGAGAACACAATCTGAATTATATGACTACTAGTCTGCTTACACAGGATGACTGCACTTTACAAGAGCTACAAAGTTGATTTGGCTAAAAGTATGGTGAGCTTGATCAAGATGGCTTTAAACTTATCTCAGTATATACACATACTCTTGGTCTATTGGGGTAAGCAATGCCATCCAAAGGAATAAGAAATAACGAGCCAAAAGAAAGTAAGTGATGATGTAGAAAAAGGAAAAGAACACAGCTAAATCAGAAGAAACTAATGGGGCTACAGCAGAACTACTCAAATATTTAGCTAAATTTTCTCCAAGAGAGAACATATTCCACCAAGTAAATGTGAGAAGTAGATAAAGGGGTAGGATTAAAAGTCTGAAACTGACAAACATGGGGCTCAAGAATACTGTATCTACTGCATTTACATCCTAAACAAAGAAAATTCTAAATTTAAGAACAGCACCAAGGGAAAAATAAAGAGTAAAAAAAAAATATAAACACAAGTCAAAAATTCTCTGCAAATGTCCCTATATTGTTAATCTAATATTGTCAATCCAGAACAAACTAGACCTGAAAATTGCCCTTTTGCAAATAAAATGTATGCACATGACAAAGTTGTATGTGTGCACATGTGCAATGTGTACCCTATGTGCAAGGATATTGCCAGGAGTCCTCAAAAAGGCACAAAGAATAAAAGATTAACTGAATAACTGGTTAGCATCAACAGCCTATAAACAAGCAATACCATCTATTACTTTCACTAACATATGCATTTACTTTTTCATACACAATTAAGCATACATATATAAATAGATACATATACACTCCCTTCCTGCCTTCTGGTACAAAGAACCATCATCACTACCTTAATACAGAATAGAGATGGGTTAGAAGTAACAGACTGTTCTACTGGAAAAGGAAGTGAAGAAAAAAGAAGGAAGAAAGCTAGATAGAAATAAGGCAAGAAAAGGTCCGAAAGGGTGTAGGGTTTCCTGCCCGAGCAGGGGGTTGGACTAGATGACCTCCAAGGTCCCTTCCAACTTTACTACTATTTTTATTATTATTATTAAAGAAAAGTAGGACAAGACAAGACAAAAAAAAGTGAAAAGCTATATTTAGGCATTATGTAGCAAGAAGGATGAAGGATACCTCACTTGGTAATAATATTTGGGAAAAAAACCTCTTTCATCAAGAGGTGATTAAAAACTGCGTAGGAATTAGTAATAAAATGTGGCTACAAAACAAAAAAAAAGGAAAATGCAAGACTGACCACATCATCCAAATATAATTTCAAAATCACAAAGAGTAATTATTCTACTTTATTCTGCTTAGGTCACCGATTCTGTTCACCATCTGTTAAGATGAGTTTAGACACACCAGAACAGTTTCAGAGAAGGGCAATGAGGTGATTAAGGGAGCAGAAAGTCAGTCCTATGGAAAAATATGAAAGTTACCAGGATCGTTTAGTTTTCAAAAGGGAACTGTATAATAGCACTCTTTATATACTTAAAAAGGGTGCCATACTAAACACTATGATCTTCCTTAGTATTTTCTACCATTCTAGAATGCAGGATATGGAAATGGATTTTACGTTATGAAAGGACAGATTATAACTGATTGTTAGGGAAAAAACTTTAATAGTAAGAGCAATTCAACAATGAAAACATTCACTGGAGGAAAGTTATCTGCCTGGGATTCCTGCACTAAGAACAGATTTGGATTCAGCAGTCTAAATTATTTTGTACAATTATAGGACTCCATGATTCAAAGACAGGTTTGGGGTTTAATGCAACATGCCATCCTGACAAACCAAAAACTGAATTTAAAAGAACTTTAAATTGGAACAATTTGGAGAACTACAAAAGATATTTAAATAGAAATCCTTTGTACAACAACATGCTAACATTACCACCAGGAGCTACATCATCCACTGCCAGAGATTTGTATCCGGACCACAGAAAAGAGTTCTGCTGATGGGAGAGAGGCATGTTGCAAAAGCTGTTTTTCCCTATCACCCTAAAGTTTTGATTGATGGAAGATTCACTGGTAACAAAGACTCACAACTGTACTGTTCAGCTCAGGGCATTTAAGGATATTGTACGTTTGAGGAGCTACATTCAGACTGTTACAAGAGGAATGCAATAAAGTTGACAATTCATTTTACAATAAGCATTCAGACCATGTGTGAGAAAGTACAGTTTTGAAATGTATGCAAACTTAGTTGTAATTGTATATACATTCATCTTTCCCATGGAATCTAACAAATTTGCTTTTCTAAAGAAATCACTGGTTTTCAGTATCTTTTGTTGCCATGTGAAAACAGCCTATCTGCTGAAAATATACTTGCCTAATTTATTTGATGACATATCATACTTTATAAAAATTTTATTAAAAAAAGAAGACAGAATGGAAAAAGTGATATGTTTATACAAAACATATCACAAAACATAACCATTAATCTTTACTGACAGGAAAGCTATGTTCCAACACTCAATAACTATATTGGTGTAGCAGCTGTCTGTTCTGCAAGTCATTTGTTTTACAGAAACAAATCTGGTACCAATGTCTTCTAAATGACCTAAAGAAAATGATTAAAGGAAAAGTTGTCTTTTATTAGTTGGCTAAAGTACAATATTGGCAAATGGTTTTCTGAGGTCATTGGAAAACACGGCATAAATTGAATAATGTTTCTTATTTTATTTGCAATCATCACTTAGGACTACAAGTGTAGTTCTTCTTCCTCTCCTTGCTTCCATGCCCTCCAAACATAGGAAAGAATGCCCACATACATGGCATGGATTATTTTCAGTAGCCACAATAAAAATGACAATACACAAAGAACGTGAATGAATGGAAAGGTTCCGCTGAAGTTATAATTGGTTTACATCTAGTTTAGAGTCCAAAGGGTGAATTATTAACAAAAAAAAATATTTTTGAATAAGCCATTATTTTAGACATGTAAAATGGAAATAGGAGTAATCCTTTCCATTCATTCTCCTCTCAAATATTATCTCAAATCTCCTACAGATATTGTACTTCATTCCAATACACACAGACTCCTCAAAACTTGCAGCCTTGTGAGTTGAGATTCCAAAATGCCCAGAGGGCCGTAATATACATTTTGCAGTTATAATCTACCTTTCTTCAAGGTGTTCAAGGCAGGGTACATTATATTCCCCCTCCAATGGACTTTGTCATACAATAAGCTTAGTCTTTTCACTGATTGCATGAAGGAACCAAAAATGTATGGAGCAACAACAACAAACACAGCTCTGATCTTCCTCTACTATAATCATACGATACATTATAATAGAATAAGACCTAGAATTATTTCAACTTAGTATTCACCCTCAGGATGAACATTTTTAATATCATGTTTTGTTAATTCTGCCAGCAATTGTTGGATCAATAAGCATTATTTTTCCTGTCAGAATTATGGAGGAGTATCAGATTTTTATCAGATAGCTTATTATACCACTGTACTTCCAGTTATTGAAGAACTGTATCACACTGTTGAACTAAGATTGTGATAAGTAGGTTGTGCACAACTGAAATTCATGTGTCTATTTTGGAGTAGCCTATTAAGGGAAAAACACTTCTGCCAACTAGAAGGAATGATGGATTTCTCAAATTTGATGTTTTCCCAAAGTACTGAATTCATCAATCATAATTCTGAGACTATGGGATCAATTTGAGTTGTCTTTCCAGACTCCCAGTAACAAAGCTAAAGCAAGAAACGTAGGAAAAGGAGAGAAGTATATCAAAAAGAGGTTTGAGCCAGAAATCTGGAACCTACTTGGCAAATTGAAGGTTAGCATGATGTATACAGTACAATCCCAGGATTGTACTAGTTCACATAAGCTGTCCATGAGGTATCCCTCTAAATGTTTTCAATTAATTTTACTTTATGGTGTAATGAAAGTAGAACTTTATTAATTACTGAGGAATAACCATCTTAATTATTTTGAATGTACAGTATTTCATTCCAATTTTAATTCAATTACTACATAAATTAAATCAAATTTAGCTCTGTCCTGACTTCACCCACATTGGAGTACAATGCCTGGCACACTGCTGAAAGCGCTTTCTGGCCCCTAGTTTGAGAAAGAGCAGCACCGTATGGCAATGCCATGGTTTCCCTGCCCAGCAAAGAGTATTGCATTGCTTCAATCTCTGGCATCAGCAGGAGGAAGCAACAGGATAGGATTAACATCTGAGCAAATAAATAGTTCATGCTGCCTGACTGATTTGAAAGGGACCCTGTCTCAAGCCTCTGGCTGTTCCAAATGTCAGCAAAAGGTAACAATCACAATGAAAAAAAAAAGCTAAAGAACAGCAATATTTCATGTTTGGAACACAATTATATTTCTATTCCAACCAATGACAAAGATTTTCTGTTGCACATTTTTCCTTCACATACATCTACTAACACGTCAAGTTAACAAAGCCATGCAGTGAACTGCTTTCTTAGCATAGTTACATAGTTACAGATTGGAATAATTCTGAAAACAATTCATTTTCATTTCTGGGCTAAGGCAGAAGTAAGATGATTTGTTTTCTTAGCAAATCATCTTACTTACTTCAACAAGATACAGTGTTCAATATGATACCGTGAATGGTTTGAAGATAATAAAAATTTAAACACAGAAAGAGAGGAATAGAAGCGACCCCGGTGGATAGGAAGTGAAGTGTCACACACATGTATAGAACAGTAATGGCAGAGAAGTTCAATATCACAAATACCAACAAAAAGAGCAAAATAATTTAAGGCTTTCTGCCATTTCTTCAGTCAGTGTGCTTTCAATGGTTTACTCACACTTGTCTCAACTCCACATACAGATCTGAAAGAAAACACTAGAATGAAGAGGAGTTGGGAACCAGCTGTTCAGTTCTGGCTATGGTTCAGTATGTTAAGAACACTGTAACTTTGTTGAAATGAAAAGATGAAGAAATAGAGTAAGGAGCTTGTCTGTAAACAAGAAACTTCTGAAAATCAACACAACAGGACCTTTCTATTAAGGCCTCTAAACCAAATTTTATAAACAACTCATGGCAGGAAAGTTCTGGAGAACCATGAATCAAATAAGGGTCTTGTGGTGAAGCACTGCTGCCTGGAGGAGACCATATTGATAAATGAACTCAGGAAGTCAGCTGAAATGAACAAAACAAATGGATGAAGGACTTAGCAAGCTGTGGTATATGACGTCGTACCTCAGTTGGTCCAGCATACATCATCGGAGAGGGAAATATGGCCACAACAGTTGTTTCTGGATTCAATATTCCTTCCTCTAGCACTGCTGCATGTTGCTTCATTCGCCACATCAAAGGAACATCATCATCCTTTGTCCAGCCACCCAGAGGATGCAAAAGCAGAACTGGGCGCCTGTAACCTCGATCCAGAAGCTGCTTATGAGTATCCTGCATCAACAGGGCATGTCCATTGTGCACAGGGTTACGCAATTGGAAAGCAAAGACAGCATCTGAAGAAAGAAGGGAAAGATGTCAACAATTCTAGAAGTAACAAATCAACAATTCTAGTAATCAATGACAAGTGAGCACCAATGTTTTATTCAACTCTGTTTGGCTTGTAATATATTAAAAAAAAGGGGGGGGGATGGTTAGAGATAGCCAGTTGCAGAGAGATATCTCAATAGATTATCCCCCTAATTATGGCTAATGTTTGAAAGATCAGAATACAACAGTATGAACGCTGATATGATGAACTATAGTTCTACTGGTAATCATCAAAATCCTATAGTCAAGAGTATCTGGCTCTCATTTCCCTCAAAGAGGACGTTCTGTCAATGCTATGTCATCCCTATTTCATGCCAAAGATCTATCAAACCACTGCATATAAAATACCTTGACACTGCCTACTAATTTAAGCTGCGGGGGGGGGGAGAGAATAGTACCAGCAGGAATGTTTAAATAGCTGCCAAGAAAAGTGCAAGCTAGCACTAAGGACATGAAAGATATCCAGCCACTTAATGTATTTGCTTTCATCAATGTGGTTTTTGTATGTCTTAAACTCAAACTGAACTGAATCCCACAGCTAAAGCAACAGGATTTCCCATCTACCCTCCCCCACCCAAGACAAACAAACAAAAAACCCAAAGGGGGGTTATCACCTCTTTATCAAAGTGAAGAAAGGAAGCATACATGTAAATAAGTGAAATATGGTGATGGCAACATATTCAAAAGCTATTTCTCTATCCCCTGCGGCTGGCCATCGTAGGCCAACTCTACTATAATCATAGATAAAAAAATATCTGTACAGATGGATTGCTGATGCTGGAATAGGGCCATATTCTTCAACAAAATTATAAACTTGTTTATATTCTGCATGCATCCATAATTGTTTGCAAGTTATTTTTCATATTTATTATGTAGAACTTCAGCAGTTTTGTTCTGATTTCATGCTTGATTTTTTTTCCCATAAGCATTCAAGATATGCAAAAGTCAAGTTGTTCAATTTTAGACAATGAATTACTTTTTAAATCAATTTATCATCCAGTTTCTAAACAATAACTAGTTTATCAATTTTAAGTAAAGTAAATACTGCCAAGACCTCAGTTCCAATACATCCCAGAGAAGAGTTTTGAGGCTGTGAATCCAAATGTTAATTATTTGAAGGAAATATTTGGAGCCAAAATTCCAAGGTAAAAAATGCACATTTTAAACAGAGTTTGAGATTGGCAGTCATTTTTTCCCACTTAGAGATGGAGTGCAGGAGGGAGAGGATATCATGGTAATATTCCTTGAGGCCAACAAAAGTCATAAAATATAATATGCCATCTGTAAAGTTTTCAAAAGTCTTCATTAAGCAAGATACTTAAAAATTTAGGAGGAAAAAACATAGACGTGAAATGTGGCTAAGTTTTAAGCCATATCTGCAGCAGATTAGCCATTAAAGTTTGCAACAGTTTGCAGTCATAAAACTGGGCTCTTACAGATCCAGAACAAATATCTTTATTTATAATATGTTTCTGTTTTAAAGTAACAACTCTAACTTCAAGCCTTCTTACCCACAATTTTAGAATATTAATCTACACACTGGTCCTGTTTTCCCCAGCTATAACAGCACAGAAAAAGCAATCTGTCAGACTACTATTGATCTGTTTCTTATTTTGCCAGCATAATACAAACTGGAAAATGCTAGAGTGAAAACAAACTGACTATACCATGGTCTTCTTCATTGCTAGGTTATAAGCCTAGAAAAGTCTTTTAAAAAGAATTTTTCTTAAGCATTTTAATACCATTTATCACTACCGAGCATAATATTCTATGTTTGTTTCCATATAATACAAAACATAATACAAAACAAACCAAAATTTATGCAGATTACTGGAGACCATAGTCCCAGACAGCCATTATGGAAGAGGAAAGTATTGTGCAGGCAGTCAAAAAGATTTGGAAGTTAGGGTTAGTGTACTCTTTTGGAATACCAAATCTGCCAGTTCAGAATGCAGTCAGAAACAGAAAAAAAAAATGGCAAAACCTATGACAGCTTTGTGTGTGTGCCCTTCTCCCCCTTTACAGTTATTGGTTTTCACGACTGCAACCACAGAAACAGTGTTCTGTTGAAAATAAAGATCGGACTCTACAGCAAGAGTGGGCAATTAATTTTCCCAGAGAGCCACATGAGAAACTGGGACTGTTGTGGAGAACCAATGCCCACCCCACCAATGCTGCCCCATCCCTGCCGAGATTCCTCCCCCATCCCTGCCTTGCCCCATCTATGTTGCTGCCCTGACCCTGCCGATGTCACCTGCCCTGCCAACATTGCTATGCCCCCCCAAGGCCCCCTGGCAATGCCCCACCTCTACTGATGCCCCCCCAACCAACATCACAGACCAGACAGGAACGGCTGAAGGGCCATAAAATGCCCAGGTCTGCTCCACAGCATTGTCCAGGGCAGATTTCTCGAAAGTGGCAGCCAGATTTTCTTCTTTATTACCAATTGCCATTTAAGAACTTACCAGCATTCATGTCTTTGAACTTCTGCTTTAACTCAGCAGGTGTGAGTCGGTACTGGTCAAGACCATCATTCCAATAAATTCGATCCAGGACTTGAAGATCACCACCCACTAGCCAATCCCCTTGTTCCATAACCATCTACGAAATGTAAGAAAGCAGACTATATCAATAGCAATGTGAATGGGGACAAGATAACTTATAAGAACAGTTGCTCTGAGCATCCTAGGATAGTCTTGGTTAATCCCAATATCTGGTATTGTGACTTTTGAGTTGCTTTGTGCCATGAATTACTCATATACATAAACATACAGCTAGTCCTCAACTTATAACCGGTCGCTTAGCAAATGTTCAAGTTATAATCTACCTGAAACAGGGTATCTACGACCTGGAACCAAAATTCTGACAGCCCCTGCCCACAGTAACATGACCACATTTCAAGCACTCACCAACACATTTACGGTCGTTTGCAATGTCCTGCAATCATGTCACCACACTGTATGATGGTTTTACAACTTACTTCTGGGTTTTGGCAAAACTACACCATAGCAAATAATGGATTTAAGTTAATGACCATAGTACTCGCATTTACGATTACTGTGCTAAACTGCTGCAAAAAATGTCATAAGATCAGGTCAATCACGTAACCAATCCATTTTATGACTGTTACAACTTATGACTGTATTGTGCAGGCTCCATTATAGTTGAAACGCAAAGACTACCTGTATCAGAATTTCTGATTAACTTTCCCCAACAATTTCATATTTCTTCAAACTTTAGGTTAGCATGTCATCCTACTGTTTTGCTACAAAATCTGTGTTTTGCATTACCGTACATTGATTTATCCTAATGAAACCTGAAAAACAACCTGGAAAATATGTCTTTATACCTCTTCAAAAACTATGGTGCCATTATGTGCTGTCTTTGAGAAGACAGGATGGGGTTGATTTGGGCGTGATCAGTAAACCCCTGGAATTGAAAAGACTAATACAGATTAGCAGATAGGTTTATAGCATTAAATTAAATTGAAACATTGACCAAGGTTTTAAAGAATTATCAAATTTCAGGGGTCATAGTTAACAGAGCTTTTTAAAATTAACAGCGTTTTAAAAGATTTAAAACAAAACTTCCCAAAGTTGACAAATTCGCCAAACATATATATGCTGAAACCTAAAAACAATAACTTTTGATTCAAGACTCCATTTAATCACAGAGTTCACTTTGAACCATTCATTGTCTTATAGCCTGACTGATCTCATGGATAATTCCTGTAGATAAGCCTACTAAGTACTGATTACGATCAAGATCATTACAATTAAGAGATCAGTTTAATAGATAATTTAAACTGCTTGTCAAAATAAAAGGTGAATTGAATGCTGGAATCTGTTATTTCAATCTGGTCAAGGCCTGAGGCAGAAAGGGCAGATGTTTTTCTGTCATTACTGCTGAATAATTCATTTCAGAGTGTTTCCTCTAGGATCACAAATCTATATTTATAAGCCAGATGAGAGAAATTGCTGTCCAGTTCAATGACAGTATATGGGATTTACATGAATTTGTTTGTACCAAAAGATATGCAATCACTCTAGACTTACTTCAACAGGCTAAGCACGAAAAGATTGTAGAGAAATGACTGATGTAACAAGAGTGTTATATGAAAATCTATCAAGGTTTGTACCATAGGGCAGAGGTCCCCAATCTTTCTGGTTCCACAGACCAGCAACAGCCACGGTGGGGAGGTGAGGGGATGGTTTTGTGCATGCAACCTAATCCCGCATATGGGCAAATGAAGCAGCATACGCTCACCCAGTATCGGTGTATGGTCCAGGGGTTGGAGACCTCTGTCATACGAAACATACTGTAACCACTCCAATAATCTTATTCACCAATGTTATTTATAACCATATTTACACTATAGAAGGACTGCAGATTAACAATAACATTAGATTAATGATAAAATTAGCTTGAAAAAGCTACCTTGATATATGGGTGCTCTTTGCATGTTGTTCCCCACTGTCTGGCACAACGTTCTTCTTTTCTCTGCTCGTAGAACTCTGGGTTGCGAACAATAGCCACGCGCCGATTATCATATAGCAAAGCAAAAGCTGTGCATCCATCCAGTCTCTCCTTGTCTTCCTCTGTAACTGACATCACTATAGGCACTGATAAATTAATGACTCCACCTAAAAAAAGCAGACATTTGAATAACAAGGATCTCCAAGTCTCCCCAAAAAATATTAAAATTAAGAATAAGCAAACCAGAACAATCAATTTCCAAAATTCAGAGCAAGGTACAGCTCTTCATGTACAATTCACTTCTAGAATGGAGAGAGCATTGCCCAAACCTTCAGATCTATTGGTTCGGAAGGAGGAATGGAATATTTCAGGAGCAGACTATATGTTCTGCACATAATTATTTTAATCTATAATGTTCTGACTGTATTCATCCTTTGATGATGAATAGATGAAATCCATTGCCTGCTCTGTTCTTGAGGCATAGATCTGCTTAGCAGTTCTGGATTTTCATTCCTCACCAATGTGATCAGAGTAACAAATAATAAACTACAGCTCTTACTGCTCTGGGATAGCAAATGAGTGATTCCTTTCTCTGCCCTGCAGTGTCTTTTATGCCAACATTTCATTTTCTCTAAAAAAAAAAAAAGCAGCTCTTGATCAAACTTTTTTTTCCAGCATTGGTTTGCTACTGCAATCTTTTCAGGGTTCTGGAGCAGTTCAATATCATTGAATCCCAAAGAAAAAAGTTCATATGAAAGGATCCATATTCCTGACTTTGAAGATAAAAGCATTCAAAATTGGGTATTCAAGGGTCATTTTAGCATACAAAAATGAAAAATGTGATCTTTAAATTCAAATTTCACCAACATTTTCCAATCATATATTATTATAAAATTGATACAAAGCAGGTTTGGCTTCATGAAAACTTTTATTTGAAAATAAACATAAGAGAAATATTACAAAGAGACTGATTTATTAGTATAGTAAAGCTACTATTCAAGAGATCCATCAATGCTAATATTACATCAATTATAATATACAGTTTATCCTAAACTGATCAATGTTATTAACAGTTCATTGTTATTCCAAAATATGAGTTTACCGTAATGATGAAAAAATATGTTTCAGCCCAATAGTTTAAACATACATTAATAAACATTTTTTTCAAAGTTCAAACCCAGTTAGCATGGCCAATGGTAGTGGCCAAACCATCTGGAAGCCTGACTGACCTTTGGACTGAATCCTTACTATTCCCTGTTTACTGCTTCAAGTTTCAACAATTGACAAATTTCACTTACTTCGTGCTTCCAGGATGTTTTTACCTCAAATTTTAAAAACGGCATTAGTTTCCTATTCTAGCATGTATTGTTAAAATACTGGATATTGTATCCAGTATTGTGATCTATGCTTTTAAGACACCACCTCTTTTCTTATATCTCTAATCGTTTTTTTGTGAAGCTCATAAAGAATCCTGGCAAGCCTATAATAACCCTTTCTTCCAATGAACCTTCCATGTAAGTCAAAACAATGAAAAGATATAGCCAGAACACAGGGTCATTGAGTAAGAACAGGAATATAATTTATACTTGGAGGGAAAGGACAAGATGAGAAAAACAGAAAACTACGACCAGGATCAGTAAGACAAAGCTAAACAAACAACATTAGACCATAGCCTGATCAATAAACCTATCTATTATTGTTTGCAAATCACGGATGACTAGGGTTTAGCCATAGAATTTTGCTGAAACTTTTTCTGAACCTAAACCCATATTGCTCTATCAGAAGCATGTCAAAGACTCATTCTCTAAAATTTGTGGATTTGGCTAGGACAAAAATTTTAAAAGTGTTTTACATATTTAATTAAAATTGAATATAACTAACATGATTACTCTCAAGATGTGTACTTAATAATGTCCTGCTTCTGTCACATTTAACTTGTAATTTTGTTTTGAAGTCTCCCAGGGCCAAATATAGCCCAAGACCTTGAGTTTCAAATAAACAATGGTTGATGAAATATAATGGCCCAGCTCCGAAAGAATAAGGATATTTTCAAATTTCTAAGTTGGAGTATAGTCAAATGTTTTCACACACACAGCTGATTATTATTAAGTGCAAATGGGAGAAATATATATAGTCTCTCTGCAAGATCAATGGATCATGTGGTCAACTTGAAATGTCTTACCATCCAGTAGACAGTCAAAATGAAGGCACTGAAGATATTCTCTTTCTCTCATAAAGCCATTAAGTGGGGTTGCCCAGCCCTCTGCAAGAACTTGAACCCACTGCATATCAACCTGTAAATATATGTTTCATAAGTACTAGATTCTGGGCACCATCAGAATAAAAGCATCCATTTAGAAAGACAATATGAGAAAAATTTGGTAAGTTATGATTCTTAGTTCATCCATACAGAGACCTACCATACCAAAACAGTACATGGCCAGTGTCTCACAACCTTGACAGCTTAAAAATGTGTGGAATTCCTAGGCTGGGGAATTCTGAGGGTTGAAGTCCACATATCTTCAAGGTTGAGAAAGACTGCATAAGAGGGTTATAATATGCTTAAATAATTTATCATTACTAAGAATAAGAAAGCAGAACAACTTTCTATGTGTAAGCTGCTTATAGAAACCATCCACTTCAAGATTTGTTCATATTTGATTGTATTCATTAAAAATGTTCATTTGAAGTTTTGTGTGTCTACTCAAGTATGTATGTAGGAAATGCAAGAGATTAATTAAACTGTAGGGGTACTTTAGTGAGTTATAAAGGCTATAGAAAAGAAACATCAATCAAATGGATTTGTAAATCTAATTTAGGAAAATTAGATGAATTTGAGGGTGGAAAACAATTATCTCTTTTTTGTGTTTGTGTTTATCTTTCAAAATTGAGTCAGGCTCGTAAATAGCTATCCAATTCACTCAGATGAACAAAGTATTTCTGGCAGTAAAACACATATTGTCACAATCTGGATGGCTGAGAGAGTTTTTCTTTGTAGCATAAAATACAACAAAAGTTTATAGGTAAGAAAAGATGTATGGCACAAATAACTAACTCGAGTTATATGTGAACAAGTGAGGTACTATAGCTACTTGTGTAAACTTTTTTGCAAATTCCCCACTACCTTATTTATTTCCAGAGTTGGCAATGTTTCTGCATCTGTTTTGGCCAGCTTAAGCTTATTTTCAGGCACATATAGTTCTTTCACTTCATAAGAGGCATCCACTGGTACAATATCCTATGGAAAAAAATGGATAAACAAAAGTTATTTAAGCATCTTTGATGCTAAAAAGCAATTTTCACAATGTCACTTGGATTTGTGCTATTAGTTTAGTACTTGAGGTTTCTGAAAAAACAGCGCTATTTCTGGAAAATAGCAGTAGTAATACTGCTTCACAATGCTTTACACCATTTTTTAAGTGGTTTAGGGAGTCAGCATATTGCCCCCAACAATCGGGGTCCTCATTTTACCGACCTCAGAAAGATGGACGACTAAGTCAATCTTGAGCCAGTGAGAATCAAACTCCTGAACTGCTGGCAGTCGTCAGAAGCAACCTGCAGTACTGCATTCTGACCACTGAGCCACCAGGGCTCAAATGTAGCACACTAGAGAATTCTAAGAGGTGTTAATAAATTTATTTGGTACAGGTAGTCTTCAACTTACAACAGTTCGTTTAGTGACAGTTTGAAGTTACAAAACCACTGAAAAAAGTGACTTAAGACCCTTTTTCACACTTATGACAACTGCAGCATCCCCATGGTCATGTGATCAAAATACTTGGCAACTGACTCATATTTATGACAGTTGCAGTGTTCCAGGGTCATGTGACCCCCTTTTGCAACCTTCTGACAAGCAAAGTCAGTGAGGAAGCCAGATTCACTTAATAACCATGTTACTAATTTAATAACTGCAGTGATTCACTTAACAACTGTGCAAGAATGGTCATAAAGTGGGACAAACTCATTTAACAAGTCTCTCATTTAGCAACTGAAATTTTGGGCTCAACTGTGGTCATAAGTCAAGGACTACCTATATTCCTTTACAGCCCTAATATATTTATCAGCCAGAACTAGTGATCTCAATGGAGGAAGAAGGAAAAAGAGGAGAGAACTTCAATTCTGAAATGTTCAGGTACATAGATCCCAGCAATGCCATCTCCTCCGAGTTCCCCCAGGAGAATACATACAAGCAAGAAAAGACAGTTTTCTCCTCCTTCACTTTTTAGGGTACTGGGCCAGTTCCCTGCCTTCAGAAAAAGTGCAAAAACCATTTGCTCCCTCTCAACCCATTAAATCATGTTGCATAAAGTGCTGCTCAGAGAAATTGCAGCTGTACAGTCTTTTATTCCTCATCTCCTTTCTCTGGGCATTAAGAATAGACAATCCCCAGACTATTAACCTATGGACAACGCCATTCCCTTTCGCAAGAACGTATTTTGGATTAAACCAGTACCGTACAACATAGCATTTGCTGAACAGCACGTAGAAGTATGCAGACAACCAGAACAACACTCAAGTGGGAAAGGAACATGATGGAGTCACCACAAAGTTAATTTCTCGCCAATGACACATCCCCAAAATTATTTATAACTAAAAACAGTTTTAAAATTTGGTGCCTAAGCAGCCTCTTCTCTCATCCCAAATAAGAGCTATATAAACTTTACAAAGCTGTGGGGTTTGCTTTGATTTTGAAACTGGAAAAATACCCTGAAGTTTCCTAAAATAATGCAGTTGTTCATAAGTCATAACAAACATAGTCTGGTCTTCAGTTCTTCCATTTACTGCAAGTAATATGAAGCTGGAATATCTTCAGCAGAATATTCTCAAGAGATACAGGAACTAGATAAACTAGGAATCCTCTATCTAAGCCTAATTAGCATCGTTTGAGTAAACAGCTTAATAGGATACAGTGGGTACATCAATGAGAAATTAATAAGGGAAAGGATTCTCAAAGGGAACAGCAACTGTTGTCCTATGAAGCCAGATTGTTTATAAGAAAAAACTGATTATTTGAAAAACATCCATCAAAGCATTTAGAAATCTGCCACAAAGGTTAGTGCTTATAGCATCTGGGCAGCTGCCATTTAGTCCTCTGAAAATGCATATGATTATCTACTGACAGATGCAAAGACAAGAACTACTGGTTTCAAAAAGAACTGGACCCTCTTTTTATGCATTATTATTGCATAAAAACTGTTAAACAACGTTAGAAAATTTGGGACAAAATAAAACAGATAAAAAATGGAGCATGTTCTATCACATTTGTGCAAAAACTAGAGCTACATTTGAATCAAACAAACAAGTCTAAAATATACTGATCTCAGCATCAATTTAGGCAGTTACAAAATTCATCCATTTAATTTTCAGTATATGAAGATGTAAAATAAATATGGCTTCTACCTGCCTTAAAAAGAAGGCAATCACATTGATAGAAGGTACTCAATGAATGCACAAATTCCATTTCCCAATAATAGAAAATGCAATTGTTTCAGTGCAAGATTTTGTAACTATTTAATAGTAAATATTATTTCTTTAACTGACAATTGTAAAAGTCCTTTCTGTATCATAATAGTCTCAAACGGCTAAAGCGATACTTGAAAGTTATATAGAGTTACAATTAACAGTTTCAAAAACTTGGAAATTTTAATATATTTATATCATTAAACTAATGAAATGATTTATTTACAGAACTTCAATTTTATACTGGATAGAAATTAATTATAAACATATGCCAAAATTTACTATTATTTATTAAAAACAAAATATCATATTGTTTTTACGAAACACAGATTAGATTTGTATGAAGAGAAACATTTAAATGTATATTGTTTTATTTTAAAAACAATGTGTTCTAAAGAATCTCTTATCAAACTAATAAGACTGGGAGATTTTTAATGTAAAATACTATTTTCCCACATTAACACAAATGGAAACAATTTTATGAGGTAAAACATTTGCTTTTACATAACATGCTGTATTTTTTCTACTTTGTTTCTTCAATGTAATTTTTCTAAGCAAAAAATTAATCATGTTGTAAGATTCTTATCAATTCTGCTAGTTTAAACACTGGTATATAAACAAATTTTTAAAATTAGGCTGAGAAATGAAACTCAGTTCCTGAAAAGGGCAAGTATTCTAAAGTTTTGAAATATTTAAAGATTTAAAACATACACACACATGCACACACATATAATATATATTTATTAAAAGTAATGGTCCTGGTATATATATATATATATATATATATACCGTATATGCCGGCGTATTAGGCGACCCAGTGTATAAGACGACCCCCGTCTTTATAGCCGGGCCACATTCCTAGAACGTCGTCTTATACGTCGGAAACTACCAGTATTTCCGGCGTATAAGACGACTCGGCGTATAAGACGACCCCCCGTCTTTGGCGCCAATTTCAGCGCTCGTGGAAGTCGTCTTATACGCCGGCATTTACGGTATATATACATAGTAATTAAATATTAGTTTATAGTAAAAATAAATCCTCAACTCCTATTGATTCGGAACTGCTCAGTGGAAACACTATCTTAGAAGGCCCTCTAGTGACAACTTGAAAATTGTGCTGATTTGAGAATTAATTTACTTAAAAAAATACCAAGATAATAACTAAAATACTTATAGCTACTAATTTCAATACCCTTATCATAAGAAACTGACTTTGACATAGGTACAAATGCACTAAACTTATATTACCTTAATTTACCCAGCCAACAATACAGTGTATAGTACAGGTAGTCCTCGACTTACAACAGTTCATTTAATGACCATTCAAAGTTACAACAGCACCGGAAAAAGTGATTTATGACCATTTTTCACACTTACAACCATTGCAGCATCCCCATGGTCACGTGATCAAAATTCAGACATTTGGCAACTGACTCATATTTGACAGTTGCAGTGTCCCAGGGTCATGTGATCAGCTTTTACAACCTTCTGATAAGAAAGTCAATAGGGAAGCTAATTTAACAGCTTCAGTGATTCACTTAACATTGTAGCAAAAAAGGTCATAAAATGGGGCAAAATTCATTTAACAACTGCCTCCCTTAGCAACAGAAATTTTGGGTTTAACTGTTGTCGTAAGTTGAGGACTATTTATAGTAATTGAGAATTGGATAAAAACTGTATGCTTACTATGGAATTGTACCAGTTATGAAATCAGTGTCAGCCTAATAACAATCTTACAGCAAGTTATGAGGATTCCAGCATCACTGCCCAAACTAATAAGCCTCCGATTAATAAAAACACAAAAAAGAAGCGGTGCGCTGGGTAGTTCATGAGGCTGCAGTAGGACTAGATATTATATATATATATATATATATATATATATATATAAAGTCTGAAGGGGGTTAAAAAATAATTTTAACTGTGTATACTAATTTCAAGACATGCAAAACAAATTATGAATCTCTATCAACCTGCAGGGTGGAAACACTTTTAATCTTAGCTTTGTATTTTTTCCAATGAAGCGCTTGTAACTTGCTATTCTTTGACATTCTCCTCCAACATATCTTCATAGTTCACACGCAAGCTGAAGTTGGAAGATGACTAGGTATGTGAAGATAAGGTAACCAACCGTCCTCCTTTAGGGAAGACAGTCCTCCTTTTGTAAGTTCTGTCCTCCCTCAAAAAGTGTCCTCCTTCATGTCCTCCTTTTCGATATTTGAAGACTAATCTGCAGGGCTTTTTTTTCCCTCATAGAATGCTCAGAACGGCGTTCCGGCACCTTTTTTGGATGTTTGTTTTTTTCAACTTTTGCATGAACTGTGCTACTCCCACTATTGGCTTTCGAAAGCCAATAGGAATTGCTGCTGAGTGCGCCAAAACACCCAGCTGGCAAACTTTGCACGTGCAAGTTGTCTGTATTATTGTTGCAATGAATAAAATGTTTCTTTTATTTACGATATTTTTTTCTTCAATTTATTTGTGTCGTCCTTTTCATTGTAAAAAAGTTGGTCACCTTAGTGAAGATGTACAGTGGCCTGTTCTGTGGAGTCCTGTACAATATGGTAAAACTTACCTGAATAAAAGACAATTATCACTAATATGCATCACTTATATTAGAAAACATATTTCCCCAAAATCTGAATACTACTGTGGGGCCTATCTCAGGCTTGCTCCACCCTCATCTTGTTATATAAGGACGGGGTTATATTTTCATCTCCCACAATCAGGTAAGGACAAACTCTCCCTAATCACAGAATAGTAAATAGTAAAACAAAAGCCAACCATATTTGTAACTCTGGTTAGAATATTTCATCCAGGTCTGTTTTCTCTCCTTTGAAATCTACTGTTTCCTCTCCTTTGATTCTAAATTGTAGCTTCTCCACTGAAGATATTTTTGTAGACCAAAGAATGGAATATATATTACCACAGATCAAGTCAATGATCTGTAGACCAAAGAATGGAATATATATTACCACAGATCAAGTCAATGCTGCAAATAACTTAAAGAGAACCAATAAAACCAGGATATTCTTTCATACTGATATATAAATTGTTAGGATGATCACATGTCAACTTCAGAGAATCACTATATCAACAGATACTTCTAGGCTTTATGGAATACAACACAAAATTTGAAAAATTCAAATGCACAAAAGTTGTCCCTATGATCTAGAATACTGGTTTTCAGCTTGCAGAAATGTTTGGCAGGCTTTCTCCCTGCAGACATACCCCAACACATAGACAGGGGTGAGGACTGAAGGGGAAGCCATTTTAAGCACAGGAGAAATTTAGAATTCAATATTTAGAGCCTTTGTACCCGTTCTTGTAGAAGTTCCACAACTTGTTGAACGCAATCATTGACATCACAGGTATCTGTTTTGAGCACCAACTCAGGAGCTTCAGGTTTTTCATACTCTGAGTCAATGCCAGTAAAACCTGCATGAAAAACAAAACTTAATACACTTCAGTACTTCAGGTGAGATTTTTATTACACTGTTGGTCCTGCACAAGGGCCTCACAAACATATTTTAGTTTAAAATAATAAGGAAGTGAACAATATGCTATACAATTAACATATACCTTGATTGCTATAGCAACTGATTTTTTTTTAAAAAAGCTGTATCAAGGTGTTTGCAACAGTATAAATTTAGGTATTTACTCCTTATTCATCCGACCTGAATATTTACTAATGTACATGAGTTTGAAAGCCAAAATAATCCAGGCAAATTCAAATGTTAAGTGATATCATTAACATTTAAGAAAAGAAGTAATTAAAACTTTTAAATATATCTACTTGTTCCGCAATGGCAAAACCACAGTACCTTTTTCAGTTATGGAAGCTTAGAAGGGCCACAGTATTCTGGCTAAACTAAGGTGTTTGATTTGCAATGTCAGATAATTATAAAGAATCACAATTCGTATATACAGTTAATGAACATTACTATCACCTACAGAAAGACATTTATTATAATCCAGCTTGATTCATAACTCCAATGACTAGAATGAGATAATATCCATCTAATGATCTATATTAACAAAAAGTCAATTAGAGAGCATTTCTATTTGCAGACTATTTTCATCTGCAGATAGATCAAAATAAATCTTTACAAAAAAGAAAACAAATGATTCTAAGCCAGTGATGGCGAACCTTTTAGAGACCGAGTGTCCAAAAACTGTCCCCGACCCTGCTCCACCCCCTGCCCCCATCCCCCGCCGCCACTCACCACCTCCAGGGCCAAACACCTCCAGGGCCCGCCGCAGATCGCCCAGGCAGCCCAGCAGCACTATGGTGGTCATGCCCTCTGCCCGTGCCCTGCAGCATTAACTGTGCATGATTGGGTGTGAGGGCAGAGTCTTGTCTATGCTGCCTGGCTGCCATGTCCTTGGCTGTGCTGCTCCGTGTGGGCCACGCTCAGAGGCGACTCTCCTTCGAGGGGGCTGCTGGAGAGGAGGGGGTCACAGGGGGAGGCAAGTCTAGGGCAACGGCACGTGTGCCCACAGAGAGGGCTCTGAGTGCCGCCTCTGGCACCCGTGCCATAGGTTCGCCACCACTGTTCTAAGCCATCAGAGCAAATGATATAAGCTTTCTTCTGTAGCCTTTAGAACTGTGACTTAATACAGCATCTAAATACAACTAGTAGTGGCTAATATATTAGACTGTGGTTTGCCTTAGGCATACTTTATTGAACAAAGCATAACACATTGATTAAGCTGGAAACTTTGGTCTACAAATCACAATACTAGATTTAAGCATCATTTTAAGCCAAAAGTAAACAAACTATGTTACAGCATGAAACAGGAACTGAACAACAGTCTCTCAGTTCTGCATCATAAAATACAAAATGGGTGGGAAAAAAACATATACCAACCTAAGTATTCTGAGAAAAATGGTAAAATGTTAACACTCAGGCTCATCCTCACCTTTAATTTCACCAGCACGAGCTTTTTTATAGAGGCCTTTCGCATCCCTCTGTTCACAAACATACAATGGAGCATCCACAAATACTTCAAAGAAAGGAAGACTTACTACTTCATGAATTTGTCTTGCATTGTTGCGGTCCTAAGAACAGCAAAGAAAAAAATTCTGCAACAAAATCTTGTATTACATATTAACATATGTAGCCACAGCTCCATCATACATGTGTTAATATAAGGAAAAATTAATACAACCACCTTTCTTTGTAAGCCCAGTTCAGTAACTAAACTTGACTGCAATTAAATTAATTCAGTCCACTAATCTTGATTTGCAAAACTTCTGGCTAGATTCCCATTTTCAAAATTTATAGTTATTTGAGCAAATTATAGCTGCTGAGGTCACATAGAACTGTAAGGTATAAACTATGGTTTATAAATTGCAATGTGGGTTTCATATATCATTTTAAACTGAAACCAATGAATTAGAACTTATAAAGTCCAAACCCTTGTTCATGCAGTTTAACAAGATCTCTAAGCCCAGCCTTTGCCTGCAAGAGTCAAGTTCATAAATTGCTCTAAGCCAGCAGTAGGCAACCTTGGCTCTTTTATGACTCGTGGACTTCAACTCCCAGAATTCCTGAGACAGCATGGCTCATGAGTCATAAAAGAGCCAAGGTTGCCTACTCCTGCTCTAAGCCATATTGTAGTTCATCCATTTGTAGCAGAACATAATTTGCTAGTATGGCAAATCAGGTCATTCTAGCTTAATATGTATGAACTACCATATCATGTAACAATTATTTAAAATCAAACTTAGCAGCCCTTCTACTGAATAAAAGACTAAAGGGTAACATAATATTTTATTGCATTTGAAATTATACTTTCCAAATTATATTCCAAATACAAATCACTAGTAAAAAAAACAATTTGCAATTCCTTCAATCAGAATCTGTCACTAATATCTAAGTTTATTGTCATTAAGTTTTTATTCACTGCCACCACTTGGAAAGGAAGAAGTGCTTCCTTAACTATAAGGTTGCAATAGTAATTACTCTTGTATTTTTCAACCAATATCTATAGTTTGCCAGAGTTAAACTGCTTTTATTCATGCTTGAATTTGAGAGTGGTCAAAAATTTTAGAGAATCTAATTGCTCAAAACACTGATCTAGCCTATAAATAAAAATAGCAATTGTTATTATTAATCCAATAGAAGATAAATATCTGTAGCCCAGAGTTAAACGTTATTGTTGTTTGTTCTTTGAGCTTGGTTGGTTGCTTCATTATCCAATTTGATAAAATCACAAGTATGAGTGAGTGTAGAGTTTGCTGCCCATTTAGATACAGTAGCTTGCCCTGCCAGTTTTGTTGAGCGTGAAGTTTCCTTCTTGAAGGTCCTTGATTTACATATTGTTTTCTGCTTTGTTGCTTGTCTGGTGCTGACCATTGCTTATGAAAGTAGACTACTTGAGAGGACTTGTAATCTTTTTGTTTCTTTCATAGGATGATGATGATGATGATTTTATATCCCACAAAATATCCCTTTTCTCTATTGGGGATATGACAAATTTGTATAGTTTAAATATGGCTTTTATGCTGTTTTAATTTTTGATTGGTAGCCGCCTGGAGCTGGTTATAAGATAGACGGCTACATAAATGTTTTAAATTAAAAAATAAAATAAAATAAAGTAATACTGTAGTGAAAATCTATCCATCTGAAGTGTACAAGAGATTCCATACAAAATTTAACTTGACTCTATTGTCCATTTTCAATAATGATTTACATAATCATATTCTAGAAACTATCAATGGTAAAATGGAAAGCATGCAATAAAATTAGAAAAATATGCTCACCTGGGTATAAGGAGAAATAAAGCTAGTAATGCACACCAAGCCAGCATCTGCAAATAATTTAGCAACCTCAGCAATCCGACGTACATTTTCTTCTCTGTCTTCTGGTGAAAAACCTAGATTCTTATTGAGGCCTTGTCTGATGTTGTCACCATCTAAGGTATAGCAAGGAATGCCATGGCATACCAGATATTCTTCAAGTGCCATACTAACAGTGGTCTTTCCAGCTCCAGACAGTCCTGCATAATTTTCAAACAAGCAAAGTATTAATTTGTTTCACCTATGCAGACAACTATTTTTACAAGTCAAGAATAAGTTCCAGTGTTCAAAAAAGTGAAAATTTGGTCAGCCTACCATATTAGTATAATAGAATCATGATCTTTATTATAATTATGCCAAAATCAGCCACAATGTCAGTGAAATAAAGGAACATAAAATCTGCAGTGTCAACGCTTAAAAGACATTATGCAAAATATATGTTTATATATCTTGTATCATCCATTATAAGCCACAAATTAAAAGGGCTCAAAGAACAACAATCTTGGTCCAACTTTCTACAGTTTTCTTTACCTAAAATCATGTACATTCTAATCCATTCTTAGCCAAAAGCCTTTTAAAATGTAACTTTCAATCTAGATAAAGAAGGTAAGTTATTTATACTAACTCACCATGGATTAATACTTAGCAGTGCAATTCTATTTATTTCAAATAAGGTTGAGAACATTAAGTTCTCAAGTTTCATATCCAGTATTTTCATTTCCCAATGTAAATGAGCAAATTTAATTTTCCCATGTTCATGCAGAGAAGTAAAATGAAAGAAGTACGATCATCACATAATATTTTTTTCCTAAGACAAGGGCTCTTCATATGGGGATCCTAAATTTCCTTTTTATATTTCTCAGTGTTTCCTTTTCATTTATATAAAATTGAAGGATATGCTCTACCTACTTCTGAAATTTCATAATCACTTGGAAATAATGCAGAGGAAAGATACGATTTTAAAAAAGAATAGATATAACACATTATGTCCAAAATTGCAATAATATGTTTTTTTTTCCCCTTTCCAATGAAGTGATTCCATTTGGTCAGTAGGCAATAAAGTAGCACACATAAAGATTTATGAAATATTAGTATTATATAAATAGCAAGATAGAACAGCAGGGTAGAAAAGGCACATCAGACTGAAGAAGGTGATTTGACATTTTATGCTCCTAACATTTGTTAAATTATTAACTTGTATAAACTGCTACTGATGTTGACAGAAAAACGGAAAAGGCTAAAGTAAACATTTGTTAGGCTGCAGTTTTGTACCTGTTAGCCATACTGTGCATCCCCGAAATCCACTTCTGGTCCCTACCACCTGACCTCTCTTATTTCTGCTAACATGGTGGGCTTGATAGGTGACATTGGTAGCTCTCTGCATCCCCTGAAATAAAGTAAGTTTAAAGGATAAAATGATGCTGCTTCTTAAACATCCACTAACGCTTATAAAATAGGAGCGCAAACTGGAAAAATCAATATATGAACCCTAGTATAGAACACAAATGTTTTCGTTTATGCAGTGTACGACCTCAAAAATCCTAGTGGTGAATACAGCACAGTTCATGAAATCCACTATGCCACAAGCCACAGTTTACAAGCCACAAGAACCAAGATGCATACAGCAGGTTATAATCAGAATTTTAATTATGGTTTGGTGACCAAATTATCACAGTAAGATTCATACATTGACCTAAAATGTGCGAAGGAAGTGAGTGGAATGAAGTCAGAACTATGAAAATAGATCTTCCTGATATTTTTATAAAAGTGAGTATAAGAATAACCTAACTGTGATAATCACTCAACCTTTTGCCTTTTTTTTTCCTTAAATGCATTATATAGCATTATTATTATATAGCTGCCCATCTCCAACTCATGACTCTAGACAGCTAATAATAAAAACAAAAACACTCATGAAATCCACAGCCAAAGTGAGAAATAAAACCAACAGGTCAAATCAGCACAACTACTGCCTGAACTCTGCCACACATCTGAATCCCTGCTGACAAAAATATCCTTTTAAGGCCTTGGGAAAGGCCTTAAGGCCTAAGCTGGGAGGAATGATGTTCTAAAGGGCAGGTACCATTACACAAAAAGTCTCTTCCTAGGCCCTACTAGACAACACTCCTTAATAGAAGGGACCCAGAAAATGGCTCTTCTGACAGATCTAATGAGACAGATAGCCATAATCAGAGAAAGATGGACCCTGAAATAACCCAGTTAAAATCTGTAATGTCATGGTTCTGATAGATGAGACCATTTAAAAGAACTTCAAGGCAAGAATTTCTTCCTTAAAGAACATTTGTATTTGGCTACAACATACAATGGTGAACCCAAGACTAAATTCCCCTCCCCTTGGTTACAAAGTTGCAAGTTTCATTTCCCACCCCAAACTGCTATCATAAATCACATTCACCAATTGTTACAAAATGCCAGCACTCCTCCCAGTTGCTCCAGCCTGCCAAAATGTTATCAGCAATGACCTTTGTTTCCATACCTGTGAATTGTTTTGGCTAACTGAGAACTACACACACAACCTCCTTCTTCTAACTAAATATATGGCAACGAAGACAAAATGAAAATGGCTTCAATTTGGTTTGTCACAGAGTTGACATGAGATTTATGACTGTTGTTGTTGTTGAATAGTTAAGTCATGTCCAGCTTTTCAGGAACCCATGGATCATAGCATTCCTATGTCCTCCACTGTTTCCCACAGTTTTCCCTAATTCCTGACTGGTTTAAGACAAGCCAAAGACCAGGGTTAACCAAACACACCATAGATAACCTCAAGGACCAATCTCAATTAGCTAACTTTAAGGTGTAACTGGAACAAACCATGATCCTAGAACTCACAAAAATGCTGACAACCACCATCAAGACTACATCTCTAAAACATGTTAGAGTACAGGAAAACAAAATTCCAAAACAAACTGCTCAAACTAAACCTCAGAACCAAAGAGGTTACTGAACTTAAATGGGTTGTCAACATCCAGCTGTCCACTATGCTCCTCAGAACACAGGATCCTACAGGAAGGCCTCGACTATAACATAGATGATGCTAATCAGTTAGAGTACTTTGCAGCTTTAGACACAGCATTTAAAACCACAGGACTTGCCATAGACGCAACACAAAAAGTTTCCTGGCTGAATTAAAAACTGAACCTTTGCCTTCCCAGATACAGTTTGTGACTCAAAACATTAAACCAAAAGTTATTTGTAAAACATAAATATCTAGAAAACCATCCATCTGCACTCCTGAATGTGTTCATAAAAAGTAGGGTACAATACTAGTAAGACAAACTCAATTAATATTGTTTTATATAATATGCAAGAAGAAAAAGATAAAGATACACAAACTAAGGCAATAGATTTTGGTTTCAGCTGGCCGAAAGAGATTTTAATATACAGATTCTTACAAACAGAAGCATCAAAATTATTTTAAAAAGTGATTCACTGGAATTACTAGAGAACATAAGAACTTATTAAGATGAAGTTTCTAAAGCATGTAGACCAGCAGTTCTACAGACCTCAGTTTTCTAGACCAAAACAAATCTCAAGTCAAAATAAAACTCAAGGCAAAGAATTTTGTTCATATAGAAAATATAGAGAATCCAGAACGCAGTTAGCAGTACCCATTTTCACTTTCATAAAATATCTATATGGTATACTCAGCAGCAAGAACAAGCAATCAACTGTATACTAATCAGCTGTTCCAAAAATAGATTTTCTTCAAAAGTTATTTAATTCTATAGTCCTCTAGCTATTCATTCAGAATCAAGCCAAAAAGAGATAAGCTGTCAAACAACTTAGTCCAGCATTGTGTTCCTTTACAATCTAATTAGTGCTTCTATGAATACTATTAATACTGAAAAATAATATCCAAGATAGTTAAAACTCTTCAGCAATTGATGAGAAAAGGAAAGCAACCTTCTAGCTTCAGTGATCTTTTTTACATTGTCTCACATTTATATGTAGCTTCTGTTAAAAAACAACATTATAGATTTATTAAGGATTTTTTTTATTAAATATATGAATAAGTATGTTTTGACTCGTTTATTTAATTGGACAAAAAGTTTCACAAGCATTTAACCACCATTGTATTTAAATTGTTCATCAGTTACGCAGTGCAAATCAAATACTTTGTTAAATGCAAATCAGATCTATCTTTCTTGAATGCAAATAAATGTTGATTTTTCAACAAAAATTGTAACTTTTACAAGTTACCACACCATTAACTTGTTCATATAGTCTGGTTATAGGTAAATTAAATGAATAGCTCTAAGAGCCATAGAATTATCCTGTACTAACTTAAAAGATGCAGAAGCCATAATACAAATTTTAAAACTACAAAATAAAAGTAAATTAGCGACCAATGTTGATGAACATCTTATATTCACTGTGTGGGGTTTCAGGTACAACTTGAAAGCCTTTAAAGTGAGGGAATGGCAGATGTCACTTTTATATTTGATCCTAGTCTATTTTCTGGCTCAGTTTGCAAATTGGCAACCATATCCAATAAATTATTCCTAGGTCAGAAAAATATAGCATGCTTCTTCTTGTATAAATTAGACCTTCCTACACAGTTTCAACCTACAAAGTTGCTTTGTTCCATGTCTGTTATCTCTAGTAAAGATGACATTTGGCTTTTCTATCAGCTAGCTACTCCATCCTCTATTCTCTCTGCTACTATGAAAACACACATATTTATGTGTGCATTATATGGACTGCACTATGACCACTAATCAACAGCAAAGAGTTCCATAACATTTTGATACCTTCTAGTGGTTATAGGGATTTCTGCAGCCCAGATGTCACTCAGGTTATCTCTGATTCTAGGACACATTTATTTTTGGATAGCTGTGAGATAGTTTCCCCCAAGATAGTATCCTCACTATAACATTGGCCATCCCAAGGCAGCATAGGACTTGTAGTTCACCCCACCCAAATAACCCCAAATTGGAGAAAAACCGAATATACTCCATCAGTGCCACTATTTTGTGTCAGGAAAGGCCTTATTTTTTTCAGTGACAGAGTCTGCCGATTTTCTAACCTTTGGCCAGTAGCATAAATTTAACCTATCAGAGCTCCATGGCTGAAATCACAGGTTTGTTCAAACCTGCCTCGAATGAGTGAGGCTTTCATTCAAAGAACCGCTCCACAAAGAGTCTCTCAGTCTCCCAGTCGCCCAAGATTTATGAATAGCCACATTGTATACCAGAGATTTCAGCCTCCACCCCCTTCCGCCTCAACTAAAATAAAGTGATACTGAAGAATGTCGATTCGGCATTTTCTTGGATTTCTCAGCACTGCAATTTATTTTTTTGCCACTCCGCATTTGAAAGGAACAAACGCGATCCTCCCTCAATCCTGAAAACGGATCCTTCATCACAAAGCCATGCGAGACACGCAGGGGAAGTGAGATGATCCCTCCCTTCCTCTTTTGTTTATTCCCCTTCTGCAAAGCACAAATAAATAAACGAACGAGCAGGCAGATGCTCAATGGATACAACTGTTCTTCCTAAGCGGTCGTGCCTTTGCAGGCCGAATGATTCCACCTCCACGCAGACGCTGCTGTTCCCCTTCCAAGCCTGCCCATTCGGCCCATCAGAAAACGCCGCTTACCGGGATGATACATTCCCCGTTCGGGCAGCAGAGCGCTCCCCTGCCCCCGGTTCCTCTGCCTCTCGCGGCACTGTCAGCCCGCTTCCTCAGCTGTGCCCCGGCACCACCACCACCACCACCCAGCCCCCTCGAACCTACCCAGCTCTGCACTTTGTTGCTCAGCTTGACTTTTTTGCACTGGCTGGCGGGCAAATCCATTCGCGGCGGGCGCGGGATAAAGCAGGAGGTAGAGGCGACGGGAGGTAGGAAAAGGAGGCAGGAGGGATGCAAGGTCTCCGAGGGGCCCGAGAGGACAAAAAGGGAGGCGGGACTTTAAAAGAGAAAAGCGGGGGAGTGATGCTAATGTTGCGAGATGCCAAGAGCACAAGGCTGCTCCCGATCAGGCTCGGAGAGATGCGGAGAGAGGGGGGGAAGTGGGTGGGGCACGCGCCGCACCGAGCAGCGACCGAGGCTGCGCGCGCACCCACCGTTTTCGTCCGCTTCTCTTCCCCAGCCCTCCGCGCAGCTCAGCCGTAAGCCGTACTGTAAGCCGACTCTAGAGGGGAAAACGGCGTCTTCCAATTCAGGAGAAAGACTGAGGCTTCCGGTTTGCCGTTCTAGCCCGCAGAGGTTCGTCTCGTTCGCGGGAAGATGGCCTTCGCAAAGCTGGGGAGAACGGGGTGCCCCGGCCGATCTTCGGGAGGGAGGGAGGGATTCTCGGCTGCCTCAGCATCGCTTCTTTTCTCCCTTCTAAAGTAGGATGATAGTTAAGGTACCCTTCACGATTATGTTTGTTTTAACTTCCAGGAGGCTAGACGGAGACCCTGAGAATCTCCCAAGGCTGGAGCTGTAGTTCAGCACGTCTAGACCAGCTGTAGTTCAGCAGTCTAGACCAGTGGTTCTCAACCTTTTTAATGCCGCGACCCCCAACCGGTCGTAAGCCGAGGACTACTCAACCGGTCGTAAGTCGAGCTCTACTCAAGTGGTGCAGCACCGTTTATAGAATGGGACTTTTGGCGGGCTCAGCAGGTCTCAGAGACAGCCTGGACAATTCCTATTGGCTTTTGAAAGCCAATAGAATTAGACTCTATTCAAGAGAGTGTATTCTATTGGCTTTCAAAAGCCAATAGAATAAAAGGGAGTAGCACAGCTAAGGAAAAGGGGGAAAAAATGGCGGACTGACTTGTTTGGCGACCCCCATGAAATGGTCATTTGACCCCAAATGGGGTCACAACCCCCAGGTTGAGAACCATTGGTCTAGACAGAGAGCCACGAGCTCCATGCTTGTGACCTGGAATTGGTGTAAGTCAGGGGTAGGCATCTTTGGCTACCCCTGGTGTAAGTCATTCCTGAGTCATAGCATGTGTGGCTGAGCTATGGTTTTCTGCTTCAGTATTTCTCAACCTTGGCAACTTTGTGATATGTGGACTTCAACTCGCATGCTGGCTAGGGAATTCTGGAAATTGAAGTCCATTCATCTTGCCAAGATTGGTCTTACTGGTCTAGTTTGTCTATCTGCATGATGTATGAACCAACCAGTGAGATGACTTTAGAGTGAAGTGAACTTGAAACCCATTTAACTGGATTACTTAGGAAAAGTATTTGCCTCTAGTGTAGCTTCCACTGCTGTAATGCAGAATCCCATAGTGTTCAAATTCAGCTTGAAAAAGTTGTGTTTTGGAATACAGATAGTCCTCAACCTATGAGTACAATGGAGCCCAAACTTTATGTTGCTAAGTGAGAAATTTGTTAAGTGAGTTTTATCCCATTTTACAACTTTTTTCACCATATTTGTTAAGTGAATTACTACAGTTCTTAAATTAATAACATAGCTGTTAAGTGGATCTGGTTTCCTCATTGACTTTGCTTGTCATAAGGTCGCACACTCTGGGTTACTGCAACCATCATAAATGTGAGTCAGTTGTCAAGCATCCAAATGTACATCACGGGGTTGCTGCAATGGTGTGTAATAAATGTGCAATAAGTTATTTTTTCCAGTGCCATTATAACTTCAAACAATCACTAAATGAACTGTTGTAAGTCAAGGACTACCTGTACAGTCACTTTAAAAAAAAAAAAAGTCCTGACTTATTTATTTATTTATTTATTTATTTATTTATGAGACTTACATACCGCTTTAAGTGCAAGCACTCTGTAAGCGGTGTACACCAGTAAGCAATGTATATATATATTTACATTGCCCCCAACAATCTGGGTCCTCATTTTACCTACCCCAGAAGGATGGAAGGCTGAGTCAACCTTGAGCCGGTGAGATTTGAACCGCTGACCTGCTGAACACAGTCAGCTAAAGTGACCTGCAGTACTGCACTCTAACTGCTGCGCCACCTCGGCTCCATAACTTACACAAGTTGACTCTATGACTTACACAAAACATATCTGAATCCATAGTTTATTAATCATGAGTTACTGAATAAGCCACAAATGATTGACTTCACTCAGTGTACCAAGCTATGACATGCTTGGTAGGTTGCTTGGCAAGTTACATTGGGAGGATAAAATTTGCTTTCTCAGTGAGCCTTTTAGATTAGCTTGTACAAATCCAAGGGTTTTTTTCTAGCAGGATTCTTTCTTGGTTCAGCCTCTTTGCAGAGGAGGGAGGGGGCAAATTAGTTCTTTGGCAGATAACTCATGTACCATTCTTTAAGCATGTGTATCCACCATTAATTTTATTGAGAAATTCCTATTAAGTTTTAAACTTACATTATCTAGAGAAAATTTTAGTTTAGTTTTCTTGGAACCCAGTTTTGAATAGCGATAATTTTCAAAGAAAAAAATTGTACAAATCTTGCAGATCTAGAGCATTGATGAGAACAGTGATAAAGGAATCTGTATGTTGTATTGGAATTCCTTGAAGATACTGTTTTCATTCCAATATTTTTCTACTTGGCAGAATAATTGAAATGTGGTTACTGAAAATTCTCAGCAACTTTATTACTCTGATATTCCAGATTAAAAGATATGCTTCCTATGGGCAGATGTCAATAGGATCTAAATTATTACATGAATGAAGGCAAATTACAATCTTTACTTGTCTTGGGATATAATTTTACCTTTAAGTAGATCTGTAAGGGCCAAATCTTTTCTAAGCCCAGATGAAGTATTAGTATCGCTTTATAAAGCCTAAGTAAGGCCACATCTGGAATACTGCATCCAGTTTTGGTCACCACATTACAAAAAAGATGTTGAGACTTTGGGAAAAAGTGCAGAGAAGAGCAACTAAGATGATTAAAGGCCTGGAGAGTAAAACATATGAAGAACGATTGCAGGATTTGGGAATGACCATTCTAGAGAAAAGGACATGATAGCAGTATTCTAGTATTTGAGAGGCTGCCACAAAGAGGAGGGGGTCAATTTATTTTCCAAAGCTCCAGAAGGCAAGACAAGAAACAACGGATGGAAACTAATCAAAGAGAGAAGCAACCTGAAATTAAGGCGAAACTTCCTAACAGTGAGGATAATTAACCAGTGGAACAGCTTGCCTTCAGACATTGTGGGTGCTTCATCATTCAAGGTTTTTAAGAAGAGCCTGGACAACCATTTATCTGAAATGATATAGGACTCCTGCTTGAGTAGGGGGATGGACTAGAAGATCTCCAAAGTCCCTTCCAGCTCTATTTTGATTGATTGATTGATTGATTGATTGATTGATTGATTTTAAAATATTCACAATTTTATAGAGTAATACATATTCATGTTTTACAAAATCATAATGAAGGATTTTTTAAAAAAGGATTCTTTCACCATTGTAACTGGGGTCTTTCTCCCTTAAGATTATTGGTGAAGGAAATGCACCTTTTCTGTTTAACTGTTTTCATTGCACAATATATTTTCAATGGTCTTTCCCAACCCTAAATGTTTCAATCTATCACATCAATCAGGGATAACTCTACAGCGAACAGCAAGTTATCAAATATTTTGAAGACATTTGGTCATATCAAAGCTAAATGCATCCATTTATTTAAAGTTTGCATTTGTCTCCATAGTTTGTGAGAAAGTCAGTTAAATATATTAAAATCAAATTAATAATTCTTGAGGCACTTGGGTTCCACGGACCATCTTGTGTAATCCAGAAATTAGAACTTGAAAATAAGATGTATTTGTGAAGGAGGAGTTCCCAGAACAGTGACAGGCCTTGCAATGATGGAATGGCATCACTAGTGGAACCACAGCCAAATATTTTGGCCCTAGAGTAGTTTTCTGTAATGGGTTTAAGCCTAGCAGGCTGAATACAATTATTTTGCTAAAGGTTTTTTATATAAAAATGTGGAAGATATTGGTACAATTAGGAAGGATTCAGGAAAGTAACAGTATATGATTTGATAGTAATCAGAAGAACGCCATTGGGTAATTCCCATAATTGGAAAACAGTAATTAAATAAGTACAGAAACAATAGAAATATAGAAAGAGATGCATTCTATGTTAAAAGTATCTATGTCTGCTCAAAAATCAAATGGAATGAAATTGGTAAAATTGTAGAGCATAACCTGATTAAAACAAGGGAAGAAATAAATAAAAATAATTGCTATCTCAATTATGAAATTTTATTCTAAGAACAAATTGTAGATCTTGCAAAAGAAAGGGCTTAAAATGAGGTTGGCAAAGGAGATTAAACAAAACATTTGTAGATTTTGTTTCAAATTAAAGGTGGATAAATGAATCTGTGTCATTAGCTGCATAAATAAAGCAAAACATGAACGAAGGTAAGGCAGAACTATTTAACCATTTGGGCTCAATTTTCTCCAACAAGAGAATATATATTCCCAGACAATTATGAAGGGGCAAGATTGAAATTTGTGATGGATAATAAAGTCAAGAAATGGCTTCCGTGTTTATCTTAAACATGTTTCTGAATCTAGCATACAACCATAAAGAGTAGACAAAACCACAAACAAGAATCCTGTGCAATGTCCTGTTTCCTTACAGTTGACAGCTTAGTCTTACCAGCTCAAGTAGAGATCTGTCCTGGAAATTTCCATCCCTGCATGCTATGTGTGAATTTATCTACGTATGTCTGACACATTTCAAAAAAAGGGCAAGGATGACATAATTAAAATTAATTTCATATAAGTTAAAGAGCAGCATTTATAATCTATCTCATCTATCTCATTATAATCAATCTCATTATCTTTCACACACACAAACTCACATGTTCTTTTTCTACCTTTCCAGCAGGAACAGTAATGGTATTTTAAATTATAATAATAATAATAATAGTAGTAAAGTTGGAAGGGACCTTGGAGGTCATCTAGTCCAACCCCCTGCTCGGGCAGGAAACCCTACACCATTTCAGACAAATGGCTGTCCAGTCTCTTCTTAAAAACTTCCAGTGTTGGAGCATTTACTGCTTCTGGAGGCAGCTGTTCCACTGATTAATTGTTCTCACTGTCAGGAAGTTTCTCCTTAGTTCTAGGTTGCTTCTCTCCTTGATTAGTTTCCACCCGTTGCTTCTTGTCCTGCCTTCAGGTGCTTTGGAAAATAGCTTAATTCCCTCTTCTTTATGGCAGCCCCTGAGATATTGGAATACTGCTATCATGTCCCCCCTTGTCCTTCTCTTCGTTAAACTAGACATACCCAATTCTAGCAACCGTTCCTTATATGTTTTAGCCTC